GTGTTTTTGCTAAAATACAAAATATTACAGATAAACCAATTAAGACTGTAAAATTAAAAACTTCAATAACTGTTTTAAACAGTTTTATTTTCATACTGTTTTATACAGCTTCCCATCACTACTGTATTTTTAATACTTGCAAATCAAGGATTTTTCCTTGTCTGTTAGCAAAATATCTGATAAACCTGTGAGTGTATTGTAGTGAAACTTTCAGGAAGTGCTCACTGCATGTTTGTCTACAACTCTACAACTTTTACAGACAATCCAATCCAAGACTGCCTCTGCAGCCTGCTCAGTGTAAAAAACACAAACACTGCGACACTTTGGCTAATYCAGCAGATTTTAAGCTGAAATTTGKTGTGGWARTAGCTGAGACCAWTTCCTATGAAACACAGAGGGGAACCAGCAGATAGATTAAGGATTTGTTTGAAACTTTAGCTGCAAAGATGAGCATACCTTCACAGGAAGCTGAGTTTAGCTTTCTGTTTATAATGGAAGCTAAAAATKAGACTAATAAGGATGTAATTATCAGTAAAATGGTTTTTAAGCTATGCACAATGGATCAGTTATCAATAATCGATCCTACAGGTGTTCACTGTCCGTGAACGCATCACTTTCTTTTCAATCTTTCGTGTCGTTAATAAGCTAACAGGTCCGTAAACGCAACASTCGTCCTGTTATTGAATAAAATCTCTTACCGACGGGCATTCTGACGGGTGTCCTGCCTCTCCGGTCGTGTTCCGAGCAGCTGGCTGACGGTCCGGTCCGGTTCGGTTCGTCTGTTAGCCTCCACCTAGCCTCCCCTCACCTGACATCGGTGCGGCGGYTCTGAAACACACAAATCACCGGTCCTGACGCACTTCAGGGACTGAAACACGGCGGTTCTCAAGTGACACCCGAGCCCCGGGACCGGTTCGAAGCACGCGACAGAGTCCACCGCGGCCGGCGCTAACGGAACCACGGGGARAGCTTGGCCAGAACCGGTCGGTGGACACACATACCTGTGAACAGCGGCAGACCGACTCCTACACGTTACAACAGTGCTTCCTGCTTTACGGTGACAGACAGACAAACACGGAAGTGTCAGAGCCGCGAGCCAAAAATACACACGCGAAAACATGCGGACCCTAGAAATACACACCGCCGGGATGAGGCTAATTCCTGCCGCCTGGCTCAAGGTGTGCTGTCAAGACTTATTATATCCCACGTCCTAACTCCAGCTCTTTTATGTTTAACTCATTCCAAACGGCTTTAAAATAACATGTTTTGTATAAAATGTGGCTAAAATGATGATCAACAACCACTGGAAATAATTTGAAGAAAACTATAATATCTTGAACTATGTGTTGTRTATGACTCTCAGCAAGACTCACAACCAGTTTAAGTCCAATATGTGTTGAATTACCTGAGTTGCCTGAGGCCATTTTTATATTTATTTATATTTTACATTTATATACTTTAGAGGCCAGGACAGTTGCCTCTTGGACAGGAGGAGGGTCAGCACAGGCGTCTGCAACCTTTACAATCAAATAAACCATTTCTGCTCCTCGTCTCACTAATAAACTGTGTTCAGAGCCGCAAAACAAGCTCCAACTGTGATTCTCAACTGCTGGTCCGTGGGCCTTTTCAAGGCCTTTTCAGAAACCTTTACGGTCACTGGAGGTGACATTATAAAACTAAAAAATATATTTTGAATTTTATTACTGCTTATTATTTTTGCACATCAGGAGAAAGGAATAAACCAGATTCATGTAAACATAAAAATACTGTTTAAAGTTTTTACAGAATTTCATAAAAACTAGTTCAACTGAACTACTTTGACTTTTTTGTTCTAATTATTATTATTATGTAGTTTTCAAACTATTTAAAGTTAATTCTGACGGATTTGAGAGAAAAATCAGAGAAAGAAGTTGGATTAAGTACACAACAGGCTAGCCTAGCACGAGCAAACCTGTTTAACTTTTTGTATTGTTATTGATCAAGTATTTGCATACAAATTTATTTCTGTTGTGAGTGTAAAAAACAAGAAAAGTATATTTATATTCTGTTGTGTTTGGTCACATTTTCAAAGAGCCACATGTGGCCCCAGAGGCAGGTTGCAGACCCCTGGTATAGCAGGTGCTGCAGCTACAAGACACGCCCCCTTGAAGACACGCCCCCTTGAAGACACGCCCCTCTATTTTGTGCTGATTTTTTTATTTTATTGTATCTTTATTTGTTTTATTAACCTAAAGGGCGCAGTAGAAAATCTAACATCACTTTTAGGACATCTACGTGAGTTTAACAACAAACTGTTTGTTTTGTTTGTGTTTTATTTAAACAAAGTGAAATTATCTCCAAAAACTGCATTTATTTAATTCACGAACTTTTACTTTAGATTTTTTTKATCCAGATTGTCATTATTTGGATTTTAGCGCAGCAATGTATGTTTTATCAAAATTTTTTTGTGTAATTTTATGTTACAGGTAAAGTTTCTCGTTTTACGTTTTGGTCCACAAGGTTACTTTTCACTGAAATGATGCAAATTTCACCACTAAGCTGAGTCTAACTAATAATATTTTCATTTTTAAGTAATGAAAAGAATCAAATTATTCTTTAACACTGTTTTTTAAGTGACTCAAATGTTGCTCAGTAAAATTATTACAGCTGAACCATTCAAAAAAGAAAAAAGCATCACTAATAAGTATTTTACTTTTCTGACCTCCTGTAACTGTTGGTTAATGGTTGAAAAATGTGTTTTCTTTGTTAAAACTGAAAACTTAAAGTGGAAGTTGTGTCTTCCTACAAACATCATTTCTCTCAGTGTTTTATTGGTGGCTGGTCTTTGAGGCTGCAGTTCATTTCATTACTGCAGCGTGTTTTCTCTCTGAGCATTAGTTTTCCTCTCGTCGTTATATTTTAAACACCTCTGGACTGTAATAAAATATATGTAACTATGAAGACGCTGTCGGCGTAATGAGACAAACTTCATTACCTCTAATGATTGTCATTAAAGTCAACACTGAGACACAAACACAGTAATTATCCTGATTAAAACAAAGCAAACCTCCAGGAGCTGACGTGTAAACGTTGGTGAAAGTGTCCCGTTTGTGCTTTTTAAGCTCTTAAGGACCTTTGCTGCGCTGACCGCTGGACTTAAGGCTGATTAAAGGCTTTGGGCGCACAGATGGCGTGCCAGGCSTGATGAAGTCAGATGAGTGGCAGCGGCTGGCAGCGGCCGGACCTGATGGGGCAGAGAAAATATTCAAAAATATGTTTCTGAAAATATTTGTGTTACTGTAGTTACTGTGATGCACGAGACCTGCCTGCTGATAGTTAAACCAGGATTAACGAGCTGAGGGACGGCTCACATGTGACTGTTGGACATTTAGATTTAACAGAAAACTGCAGTTTGTTCATGTAAAACATTTAAATTTAACTTATAAACATAAAGGCAACATCAGACAGTAATTGGTTTTGTGCTCTTCAGCTTATATAAGTTTCTTTTGTACAACAAAAACTATTAAAATGCAGCTAAAAGTTCTGACTTAATACAAATGAGTTTCAAGTTTTAACAAATTATGTCTCAACACTAAATGTTCTTTGACTAAAGCTGTAGTACGTAATATGAAATATGCAAAATGTGCTTTTTATGGAGCTAAAATGGGGCCATGTTTGTTCAAAAATATAAAATAAATAAATAAATAAAACTTCTGATACAAAAATAATTTTGTACATTTTATGATACCACAACCAGCTATATTTTTACATTACATAACACAACGGCATGCCATACCTTGTTAATTACATCTCCCAATGTCCTGCTATAAACTTTAGATTGTATGATACATCGGCCTGCCATACATTATTTTTACAATGTAACTGCCTGCCATACTGGTTAATTATGTGATCCAATGGCCTGCTATATATTGTTAATTATATGATGTATCTGCCTGCCACACCATTAATTAATGAATATGATTCAAGGCCTGCCATACTTTGTTAATTATATAACAGTCTGCCATGCCTTGTTAATTATATGCTTTAATGGC